TGAAGAGGTAGCGAGCCTCTTAGTACCGCTACGTTTCCGGGTGGTGACCTTCGAGAAGCGCTCGCCGGAGACCTCTGCGCCCTGAAGCACCGTAGGTGGCAGGGTTGGCAGATTGATCTCCTGAGGGCACTGAGGAGAGACGGGCACCGTATAATGAGGTGTACACCAGAACAGCATCCACACACCTCGTGAAAGTGCGGGTTGAGAGTGCAAGGCTGACGGAAGAACCCGGTAAGCATTTGCCCCCAAAAGCAAACCTCAGGAACTTCCATCCTTCTTTGAGACTATGAAGTACCGGCTGTAGAACCCAAACTGTCTGTTGAGAGAAGGGACCACCTCGATGGCCTCCTTCCTCAAGAGAGTGTTAACTTCTTGTTCCATTACCAGAGCCTGCTCGGGGCCCACCAGTGTGGGAATGACCCTGTTGAAACGAGGCGGAGAAGAACCAAACTGATTCGGCCTCTTCTACAGTGTGCAGGACCCACTGAGACACATTTGGCAGAAGCGTTCACGCTGCCAAAAAGGTCTACTAAGGAAATCAGTCTCTCGAGACTGAGATAATGAATAATGAGATCTCTGGTGTAATCAGCGCGGCTAGTTCGGTGCCCTGAAGTGGCGAACCCGCAGGAGACGGCCGAACTAGCTGTTCTAGAAACCTCTGAAGAGGTAGCGAGCCTCTTAGTACCGCTACGTTTCCGGGTGGTGACCTTCGAGAAGCGCTCGCCGGAGACCTCTGCGCCCTGAAGCACCGTAGGTGGCAGGGTTGGCAGATCCAGTCTCTCGAGACTGGCCTCTGGTGCACTCAGAGCGGCTAGGTCGGTGCCCTGAAGCGGCGTACCAGCAGGGAACGACCGAACTAGCTACCCTAGAAACCTCCCAAGAGGTAGCGAGCCTCTTAGTACCGCTACGTTTCCGGACGGTGACTGAGAGAAGCGCTCGCCGAAGACCGCTCCGCCCTGAATCACCGTAGGTGGCAGGGTTGGCAGATCGATCTCCTGAGAGCACTTAGGAGAGACGGCCACCGTATAATGAGGTGTACACCGCTCTTCCCCAGAGGGGGTGGTCTGGTGTGATAAGATTCATATCAAAAATCGAAAAATTATATATCTAACTTCTCATAATCAGATAAATACCTAATTTAATTCCTCAGAATTACATGCAGCCAAACAACCAAACGAGTAAACACGGTCTGGTGTGGTAAGATTCACATCAAAAACTGAAAATGATGTAATACACGCGTTGCATCGGCAGCGCGCGAGCCGCTTGGTCACACAAACAATATCAATCTCCTTGGAGAAAAATAGCTACAGCTACAGGAGAAGCACAATCAGCCCCTTATTTCCGAGAGCTGACTGCGCGAGCTCCGCTCCCCAGACATAATGCTTGAGCGCGGGTAAAGCACAATCAGCCTCTCTCTTTTTCACGAGAGCTGACTGCGCGAGCTCCGCTTCACAGTAAAGCTGCTCATTATAATATTAGGCATAATATGCTTGTGTAACTGATGCCTATGTAACTGATGCTTGTGCAACTGGCGAGCTCGTTGACGCCCTCCATATCAACCTCCTCGGCGGAAGACAGGCGGAGCGTCGAGCCCTCTCACCGGGGGGAAAGAACCGCAGCACGGGCTTCCGAACCCCGAGAGCGGGCGCTGGATCTGGTAGGTGAGGAAGAAGATAGGGACTCGCCCGTCTACATTCCCTCCACTGGATCCATATGCGAACCCCACGAGCACAGTCGCCGCTTCGCCTCGGCGAAAGCGGGGCCGGCGCCGCGAGAAACTTTTTTCTCAAGCTTCTTTTGGCTGAAGCTTGGCATAATGGAGCTTATAAGTGGACAAACAACACTAAATAAGACTTACAAACAGATAGCGACTGACACACACACAGAGCGCTTGCTGAATGAAAAAAAAAATCTGATGCCAGTTCCACCGCACGTGTTTTTATAGCTTCCTGGTCGCAACGTCACCCGCCCATGACTTCTCGCCCATCTATTGGACTGATTTCATATGTGATTCAGAGCATGGTCACGCTGGAGGCGTTCCCAAAGCATTTTCTGACGTAGCTCGAGTTCCTGAAGGGGAACTCTCATTCTTCCCGCCTTGACATTCATTTATATCTGGAAACGGAATAACACATTTCAGAACAATATCTCAATATTTCTAATCCTTTCCTAATTACAGAAAAAAATGTAATTAGAAAAAATGTTTAACATCTGAAAAACATCAAAATGCAAATAAATGAATCACACCTATGCACGGGTTACTGTTATTTATAGTCTCATTCATCTTTGTAACGTTATATCCTTCCCAACAAGAGCACAAATAGTTTCCATTGTAATTGGAACAGTTAGAATTTGGCCCACACACCAACGATGAGTGAGGACATTCATTAATATCTGAAATAAAACAAATGATGATGAAGATTAAAATGTTCAGTCTGACAGCATCAATAAAGTATACCAGCTTTGAATCATGTACAACAAATAGAAACTGACTGTTCAGAAATTTAGCTGTTGATTATATCAAAAAGAAACAAATCGAGGTTATTATTGAAGTTCAGGGTATACGTATGTGAAGCTAGAACCCACTTCTACATGTGTTATATGTTA